AATAGACCAGCGATAGCCAGTCTTTTGTTTAAAGGGAACATAGTTAAATGAGTGGCATAGAGTGTGCTGTTACCAAAGTTCTGAAATATCTTTAAATTTTACACTTTGATGGTTGATCTGATAGAGATATAAAAGATGATTTAATTTAAAATGGAGTGCCTTTTTAGACTGGCATAGCTAAACAATGGTACATAACGGTAAGAGGTTTGACCTATTTAAATGTCCCAGACCACTTGGCAACTAAGGTTACCAACCTTATCATTATATGCTGTAGGTATCTCCAGGGTTCTGCCACTAAGTCCTGACGTGCCGGGGCCAGGGGGGCGTGGAGGGGGCACTGGGGCCTGCAAACATACACTTGCTGTTTAACATATGTTTTGAGAAGAAATAATAATATAACAGAAACAGATATTCTTAAAATATAGAATAGGAAATTAAAAGACTTTTTTGAGACAGCAGGCTTAACTGAATAGAAAAGAGACCATCCTGGCATAAAAAAAAACTTCTACACTATACTAAAGTATTAGAATATTTGGCTTTAAAAAGCCTAGGTACTCATGTTTCATAATAATATGTTACATCATTAACGTCATAATAGTGACTAATGACTGTTGGAGAAGGGGAATGCTAGCATGGAAAATAAATATGAGAAGAAAATAACAATGATGCACAGCTAAATATTTCCTAGGCTTGATGAGAATAACATAGACACACTGAGTTGTTCCAACTTTTAATTTTATAACTCATTTAATGAATATAAGATTGCAAAATACGGTTGTTTTGATTAAGAACTGGTTAAAATAAATATAATATAAACATTGTGAAACTGAGTTGTTTCAATAAATAATGCTTCATGGTAGATTAATAACAATGACACAAGCAAATTGCACAATATAAAATGATTCACTGAATAAACAAAAAGATATAAAGCCTCAAAGATCTACGACATGACACCACATCGTCCAAACATGGACAAGAACCAAGAATGGAAATGAATCAAACCCACCAAATGAGAGGTAAACATTCAACAGTGGAACTAAATACATGAAAAGTGCTTTCCAAAGGAGACGGATGCAATTTATAAATAAAACAAATGTAACTAGCAAATAAAAAATGACTACAAGAGCGATTTTAAAAGACAACATTGAAACAAATACAGATGCACAACAGCCATGAGAAATTATAACTCCAAGAGACTGCAAGAAAGCAAGATTAGATATTACTAGTTATTGCAAGTTTATTTCAAAAGTTGCTATAACAGTTTGTAGCCACAAAAACATACTTTTTACTTCTTAATTTGTCAGGTTACTTAATTTGCATCGAGAATTAATAATTATTGATTATTTTAATATAATAAAGCCAAAAAAGTATATCATGGCATAGCATTAACTGTTGGAATAATATTTTAGCTGCTAGCCAAATCATACACTGAAGTTGGAATTTGTAATAAAAAAAAACGTTCAATTTTTTATTGTAAAACCAAATACCTACTGCACTTTTCCTCTTAGTTGACATCCCCAGAAAAACAAACTGAAAATGCACATTTCAAACAAAAGTAAAATATTTTTACTTCAAAAGTCAAAGCTCAGTAAAATATTTTTTTTTTATCTTTCTGCAAAGTTTATAAAAAGGTAAGAAGTTATCTGAAAGCATTGCAAAAAATCATCATTAACACTAAAATACTAAAATGGAATCTTTACAAACGCCAACCCCTTTCCTACAGTCTCTTTTCTGTAGGCTTACTCGGGCAAACGCAAGGTCCTGTTCACCAGCGCTGTGGCTGCGCCGTCGTGCACCGTTCACCCCCCACCCGGTGCAAAGCTTGTGCGGGTGTAAGTACGGCGCCTCAGTAGGCACCCGCGGGTCTATGAAGGTTGTTGTCTTGGTGGTATGGTCGATGAAGAATTGCTGACCGAAAAAAACATCTTTGTACAAAACACCGGGTATGAACATCATTGAGGACGGACAACACAGAACTACTTCAAACCAGAAAAGGAAATGGGTTTAAAAACTTAAGGCCTGCAAATAAAAATATAATAGGATGACTGAAGACTAGGAAGGTTGGAAGAACTAAAGAGATAAAAATAAAATGCAAAACTGTTTTGAAAACTAAACTGAAAACAGGACAAAAGTACAGAAACTCTTTTTTGGATACTCAAGCACAATCTGATGAAGATTTCTGAAAAGTCAATAAACATTTCTCAAAATATTCAAGTGTGATAAAAATATACTGTGAATGTGAACGAATATTTAAACATTAACTTTTTGTTTGTTAGCATAATTACTCAATTGATAGGACAATGACAAATAGGGTCTAGACCAGAGTTTTAACTTTTAAACAATTTTACTTGGAATCAAACTATCACATTTTAAGGCGAGCGCCATAACCACTCGGCTACCCAGATAATTAATTCTGTTAAAACACAACCTCACCTTTCCATTACGATCAAACTTCGTCTCCCAGCCGCGAGGCAGGTCTCGCATTGAGTCAGCAAACAGGTTTATCAAAGCGACTAAGTCCCTGTTGTGTTGATAGCGCTCGAAAGTGCTGGGATCTCTACGGATCTTGGAAACCATGTGCTTCAGCGACCCATTACGGTTGTAGAGCGCCAACGCGTCCTGGAAAAGTAAAAAATTGTTTTGGATTGGGACAAAAATCAAAGAAGTATACAATAAGGAAAAGTCAAAGTAAAACCAAAAAGCATGATGACCAATTGAAGGGTTTGGTGAAATGGAATTCAAATAGCAATAAACTTTGAGATAAAACAACATCTTAGGCCCATTCTACACAAGCGTGAAACCCGCGACGGGATTCTCACATCGAGGCCACACCTCCAGCTATAAAACCGAGCTCCACAGTACCCTATCCCGTGTCTACGTGTCGGGGATCCCGCCACATGTAGTTTGCACAAAATTTTGGTGCGTACATGCGGGAATCTTGTCTCGGGTTTCACGCTCGTGTAGAATGGGCGTTAATATCTTTTTTACCACAATGCGAGATTTATAAAATTCAGAAGCCAAATAAAACATGACCAATATTTGTTTGTAAATATTTGAAACTACTTGATAGCAAAAGTAGTGGCTAAGTAATCAGGGCAAAACTGGCAGTAGGTTGTTCCTAAAGAATGCTGAAACATGAAAGAGGTACTTAAAACTAAAACACTCAGTCGTTTGGATTGCATGAATCATTATTATTCATTAGTAAAGTTGACTGGCAGGTTTAGGACACAACTCTATATTAGGGTTCAAATACTGTCAGAATCCTCTACAGTTCCTTCCCTATTCATGAGGATTAAACTATCTATGGCAGAGCTTTGTGAGGTTTCAAATCGTCCAGATGAATGAAAGTCTGGATAAATTCAATTCACTAAATATGGAAAAGGCTGCGCTATTCCAGCACCATCAGGTATCCCTCCCTTGTGTCCAATGAAACAAATTTTACAGAAAAAAACTTAAATAACTAATTCTGAATTTGGAAATAAACACATTATTGATGTGTTAAAATATACCTTAAAAAACTGGGTAGTTTAAGGTGACACATTGTTACATTTTGCTGTATGGAAAATGAAACTGTATAAACTGCTATAAAAAGGCTGTCTAGATTTAGCAAACCCATATTAACGGGGTCCAAATTAATGAAGGTTTACGTTGCTATCCCTTCTTAGAACTTCACCCGAACTCTAGTAATCACTCTATTTATTCTGATAGTTAGTGGTCTTGGTCACTGCAGATGATTTCACCCACCGGACCACTTAGACTTTGATTGAACAACAGACAATCCAATATCTTCAAAATTTTAGAACAATCGTTCTTGTATTCACACCACACCTGATTCATGTGCAATATTGAGAAGAAGTCCGGCCTCGACAGAAATTTTACAGAAGGAGTATGGTTGACAGTTTCCAAGACAGATCCGCCGCAGTTGCTGGCCGCTTGGTCTGCTGACAGCTGATTGGTCGACAACTCCCCTCCACCACTGTCTCCCGAACCCTCGTCACTCTCAGCCCGTCTTGATGTGATCGTACGTCTGATGCTTTGGTACCTGAACAAAACAAAACATTGTGTGCAAACTTATAAGTGGAGTTTAACATGAATTAAAAAAGATTTAAAAATTATTAAGTATTGTTTTCCTCAATTAAGATATGGATGTTTATTTTCAATAATAAGCATATTTTTGACCAAACGTGAGCAAATGAAGAGTTATGAGACTGCCTAATGAGATTTCATTCTAGGTTATGGCTATGATCAGCTGTTTCTTAATCAAGGATCATTTATTAAAAGCTCAATGATCAAGAACAGCTGGTTATATAACTTTATGGTCTAGTTTGAAGCATAAAAAATCTACTTTTCTCAGGGCCGGACCACTGACATCTGATTAACAGCCTATTACTCATTCGGTTGGTAACCACGGTCACCCAATTAGACTTCTTGGAGGAAAAGAATTTACGTACTAAGAGCAAATGGAAGAGAAAAACTTAAATGTCAACTTATTGTAAGCTAGTATCTCACACATTGACTATCAAAGTACAGTATCAAAAACTAAAAGAGAACACTATCCATTTAGATGTCTACTATTGTATGTAAAAGCATTGACTTATGAAAACTGGAGTAGACCTACACATTCCACCTATATGAACCAGCTATAGCCTATAAAAGAAAAGTTAAATAAGCCGCTCCCAGACTGAAAGATATGATTTCCTCCCTTATTTTATGTTATTGAGATGGTTGATGTCACAAAAAGATGCCATAGTTTACAACTGTACAAGTTGACCTTTCGGTTTAGCTTGTTTAAAAAGTTAGTTACACTCAGTCAGTGGCTGAACTCAGCAATGTTCACTCTCATTCTACAATTAAGTACAACTTTAAAATGAAAATAATGTAATGTATAGTTTTATCATATCTAAAAGTAATTAATGGTCATCTAGTAAGGAGAATGCTACAAACCTGCGGTCTAATTGTTGTCTCTGAAGCTCGTTGCTAATTGGGCGAGCACGTGAGGAAGAAGGCCGCTGCCAGGTGGTCATCCGATTGACATGATCAATGTAGAATATTCGGCCATGACTGTCAATACGGGCCTCCCAATCTGAATGAATAAGTACATGTTTACAATGCGTTTAGAATAAGACATTTTCTGAAATTGTACTCTTGTTCTGGTGTTATATAAGGTGTAAATTTTCCATAATGCAAGAAAAATATACCTGGAACTTGTGACTTTTAAATGCTTTGATAGAATCCTCATGATCTAACAATGTATATGAACACAATTGAAATTCTTAAGATTCTGATAGAGGCTAGTGTTATCTATAGTAATGTTACTGTACAAAAATAGTTTGAGTAGTACATCATGATTGGACTGCCATATCTTCAGTTATGAATTAGATCGTTAAAAAATAATTAGGAATTAACTAGCGATAAATCTTACACAAGGTTTTTAGCTTAGAAAACAATTATAAAATCTATCTTGAATCAAGTAACATGATTATATGAATCATGTTCATGAATCATTTATACTTTGTATTGATCAGTAGTTTGAGATAACTCCAAGTTTGTCTTTTTGATAAACACTTAAATATTTTATAGGTAAGTACAATGAGCTTTAATGTCTTCTCAAGATATAAATTGTAAAATACTTACGAGGTGGTAATGGTTCCTCATCACTGCCAATCTCCAACCTCTGACCCTTGACCGATCGTTCAGGGATGGACGGCAGTCTGGTGGAGGACATGTGACGCAACGGAAGAATCGAGGAACAGCCGTTCTGAGCCGAGGTGGAGGAACAACTTGACTCTTCGTTCCAGCTGCGTTCCACTCCTTCTCGAAAAGGCTCGAGAGAGAACGTCTCTTCCGTGGGTTCAGCGGGCCGAGGGACTGCTGAGGCGTTGTTAAAGTCTCTTGTCAAGGTGGAGTGTCGAGGAAGAATGGGGCTCTGAAAGGAAGCTCTGACAGGGCGAGCGTGATGTGTGGGGGTGGGAGGACACTGGGGGATGGTGGGAGAAGTTACTCCAGCCACTCTACTCAAAAGTCGGTTCTGAGGTCTCGGGGAGTCAGTGAGTCGCAGCATGGCAGTGCTGTCAGGCGGGTGACTGACTTGACGAGACAAAGGTTTGTGAGACCGTATCGGCGTCTCATTTGTCACTGACCGAGGTCTAGAGTTGACCAGTTCAGGTCCGTCAGTGATTTCAGTCCCGATTGAATCGGAACTAGAACTCCTTGTGCTCACCACCATGTGGTTTGAGTCGGACATGGAATTCGTCAAGACAATGCCCGAATCTGAGGTAGGTGTTGACGCTGCGTTCGGTGATAAAGGAGATGATGTATTTGGCTGCTCAGGAACTGTTAACGAGTCCTGCGCAGACTCTTCTTTGGACGGCATTTCGTAAGTAGGTTCAGTCTCTGGATTAGGAATATTCTCTATACTATCATTCTGACTAACTAATGATTGACTAGAAACGGTTGCTGTGTCGGGCGTTCGCCTAACACATGTTTTCTGTATTGGCTTATTTTCTACTATGTCTTCTTCGTCTATTAGATTTTCGAAGGAAGAGGTATCTATTAAACTACTGTCTTGCTCAGGGGTGGCCAGAGGGGCTTCTGCTCTAGACAGGGTTTCATCCACCAAGTTGTTCCCAGCCACCCAAGGCTTCAATGGGTCTCCTGAAGTCTCACCTTCTACACTGAGACTTTCTTGAAGACTAGAAGCCCCAGAGAGTTCATCAGTATCGACGATCTCAAAGCCAAAAGTATCTTCTGGATTAACAACTTTTTTTGGTTTAGGAGGCAATACTGGTCCCGTTGGCTTGTTCTTCCTCAAAACTTCTGGAGGCCTCCGATGGTGAGGTGACGGATGTAAAGCTCTCGTTCTCTCCAGTGGCCGATGCCTGGGTGGGTAGGACCTGGGCGGTAACGGAGGTGGGGGTTCGTTCGAAGAAGGATACAATGTTTCATAAACAGACTTAGTTGCTACTGGTGACTTCTGACTCCAAATCGGGAAATACTCTTGGTCCTCTGGGAGATCAAGTGTCTTTTGAGCAGTTTCATGAGAATTCCACGTGGGAAGGTCTTTAGAAGAGTTACGAGAAGAATCTGTGTCAGAGTCATCTACTTTGTCTGGAGCGTGGAGAAAGCCGTTGGGGAGGGAAGACTTCTTCTTCAACAATCGCCAACCTCTTTTGCGACACTTGGAGGAGCTCTCGGGTTCAGACTCGCTCTCAGAGCTGCAGTTTCCTGTAGACGATGCCTTCTCTCTGAGTCTCAGCAGATCCCCCGAGCGAGGACATTCCCGCTTTATACTCGCCTTGTACACTGCCTCTAGGTCCATCGGCTCACTCTGCGCGAGACATGAGAGGTTCAATCCTCCGTAGTAGCGGAAACACACCGACTTGCCATACTCTGCAACATGCATTATACATTCACATTGACAAATAACCCCATTTGAAAGTCATGCCTTGTTAAAATGCACTGAGGAAATGAATATGATATGTGAAAAACGAATGAATCTGCTGATTTATTTCTTCCTGTTATGGAACTGAATTTGATTACCAAGTGACAATGTTACGTAACTATCCTTTATGATTTGTTATTAAAGTATTATTGAGCTACAACAATGGGGTTCTAAAATATTTGTAAAGTAAATCATATCTTTTTTAAATTGAACTGTTTTTTTTTATTGGAAACCAACTGAATAGGCCTAGTACTTTTTAAAATTAAATTATCAATGTTGTTTAAAAAAAAAAATATATGTTAAAATGTTTTTAAATTTTCCTTTTTAATTTCTACACTCAACAGTTTAGTGAATTTTAATGCAATATGCCTAGCGCATTAAATATATAGATATTCACATATCACTTTGAGACACACTTTGTCATCTAACAACTGACGTAGGGTCATTGACTTTAGATCGCAGAATGTTACAGCTAACAGTAAAATGAAACTGGTACAACTCGCCGCTATCTCTAGCCTTATATTTTATTCCAAAACCCTCAATAATTACCCAGATCAGAAAAAAACTTTTCTCTCACGTGGGTCAATCCAGGCCAAGTGGCCCAGCATTAGTTGCTTGACCATCTCAGATAAATTTGATACTTGCTGGGTTTTCCGTAGCATTTAGTGAGCTTAAAAATGGTTTTCTGAAAATTTTTGAATTACTATTTTTAAATGTCGGCCATTTTTTCATAGACCGATCATAGTTTTTTCGTGTTTGTAAGCATCTGAGGTTTTTCAAAATCTTGGCAATGGACTCTGCTCTCTAGAGTTAGTACATCATGATTGGACTGCCATATCTTCAGTTATGAATTAGATCGTTAAAAAATAATTAAGTAAGTACAACCACAGGTGCGTTGTATAATAATTATGTTTGGTTGCGCGTGACTTTTACCAAATAAAAAGCATTTAATTCAGTACATTTTGGCCTACACATTGAACCCCACTTGGCTTCATATGCCTTTTTACAGATTTTTAATTAATATAAAAATCAGAATTTTCAATTCAGGCACACATAGCATAGTATCACAACCAAATTTTCATGACAGCTATCGTGGGACACATTACGTAGATTTATGGGGACATCCATGATCATACTGACAAGTCACAGACTTTCTAGAAGATTGCAGATATCCAAGAGACTTAGAAACCTGGTAAATGTAGGCCTACTTGTTTTAAGCTCAGCAACAAATCAACACATTCCAAAATATTGCACTAATATTGGTTTTATATTACCTGTCGTCAGTTCCAAATTGTAACTTCCGTAGATGCTACACGTTTCGGCGAGCTGCCATTGTCAAGCATACATGTACATAAAAAATCTGCTTGTATAGCGGATTTTGCAAGCTAACTCTTCATAAAATAAAAATACTAAAATAAAAAATTTTTAAAATATTACTTTGGAGTATAATGCTATTTGATGTACCTTGGTGTGTGAGGGGCAGGTCCACAAGCCACATGGTTTGACCAGTGGTAGAGTGCCCCAGGTCTTTGGAGTACCTGGCTAGAGCCTGCATCCCATCACTCTCCTCTGTAAAAAACAATGGAAACTTAGTTAAAACGCCAGCAGTATCAGCGAAACTTAAATATAATTATATTGTATTCTTCATTTTTTTAGAAGTAAGGTGAATGGTTCCCATACGTAATTTTTTGACAGAAATGAATAAAATTGTGAGAATTGAATAAATTAGATTATATTATTATATTATATTATTGGCTAAAAGACAGCTCAAGAAACACTCGAGCAGAACCCGATTTATTTATTTATTTTCTACTACATTCCCAATTACAAAACCATTTGGATTCAGTTTCAAACCATCAAAGATCTGTGGCTATTCTCATGATATAACGGGTAATCTCGTCCTTATAATATTAGGCGAACACTATGTCTGATTTCAATATTCAATGATTATGCCCACTTTGATGAATGCCTGCTAAATTCTGCAGTTTTCCCGCCCAACGCACAGGCTTTGAGGTTGGCGGGAACGGTATTGCAGGCGTTCACCTCTTACGCGGAACGACTGTTATAGCAGCTTATCCCATGATTATATTAAAGTAATACTAGTTGATTAGTTTGAATTTTAATTCGTAATTTAAAGTAGATATTTAGGCCGTCACACGTAGGCTTTCACATTGGTGTTGAAACATCTCGATGTTTGGCGTCATTCGCGTCATAAGATCAAATTCACTGCCAGAATTCTGTTTTTTTAAGTGGGTAAGTTAATAAGTTGGCAGCAATAAAAGTATATGAATAATGCAATGAATGTGTTGTATGTTTGTAACGTTTGAGTACGATGACGTCCTCGTGCTACTTTCTTATCATAGATATATTGTTTTAGACTTTTGTGTCCCAATTCTAGAATATAGAGGCCTATCAATAGTCAGGTAGTCGAGTGTTCGCCTTCAAATGTAAAGGTCGCTGGTTCGAAACCAATCGAGATAGTTCTGGGCCCAGATGCCACTTTGTCATTGGACCATCAAATAATGGGCTTTTCTATCTGACAACAGGTTGATAGATTAACAAGACCAGGGCTTGGACCAGCTCCAAACAAAACGCGTAAAAAGTCGTAGAAACAAAAGGGTACATAAACGTTTTAATATTTAGTTGTACGACTGTACATTTGGTAACTAAAATAAGGAAGGTAAACTTCTATACGCCCTCCACTGCTCTACATAAACCGGAAACTTTCAAAAATTCTTATCAGGTGAATGGCTATAAATGAGTGAATGTAAATTTACAATTTTAGGAGGGGAGTTCTCCCATGCAGAGAATGTTCTCTCGTTAGAGATTTATTGACTTTCGTGTTACTGTATGGACCTATAGCTTATGTTTGGCTCCGAACCAGCGGATTATGGCAAACCCTCCAAGAGCGTTTGGTGATTGGCGAGGATCGAGCCAGGGTCTCCAGTAACAAAGTCTCGAGTTTACCCGAGCCCTCATAAGAACCACGCTTCACGAAGTCACGCTCTATCATGTACCTATCTAAAACCATAAGTGATAGTTATGATTATAACGAGTATCTAAGGACCAAAGTCACGCGTCCTAAAATTGTTGAACCAGACCGGCTGCGTCGAACAACTGTGTACTATTGTGACATATTGAATCTCGACTGACGTCCATTCTACAAGTGACTCGAGAAAGTGATTGAGACTGGGCGAGATCCGTTATAAATAGACCTTCATTCGCCGACACCCACACACAATCAGTTGACCTACTACACACACACACACACCTGTATACATCGGTGCTACAACCGGATCAAGCACACACCACACAGATCCGGTGCGATTAGTACCAGGTTTCATTCACGTGTATTGGTATAGTCGGTAACACACATTTAAGCTTCTGCTTGATTAATATACATGAACTGGACAAGGTTCCTAATTTTCAGGAAGGTTCAGAAAACTGTATGTCCTCAAGCACGTAATGGGCAATTTTAAAGCCGGATTAGAGATGGCGGCATGTAGAAAAGGTGTTCAAACTCGGATAGCTGCGTTATACAACGTGATGACGTTGTACAAGCAACAAAAATTTGTCGAATTCTTCTCAAATTGAATACATGTTAAAACTACTAATTAAGTGTTTTATTTATAACCTCAGTTTACGTGGTTAACCACCCTCCTACAGACAAAGAATAAACAGTAGCTATCTTTCTTTTGAGCTAAAATATGTTGGGGCTCCTGGTTGTTCTGAAATGGTTCTAGCGTCTCCACAATCAACCTTATCAATTATCACTGGGAAACGGACATAGATTAGGAAACCATAAAACTGTCAATCTCTGTGCCGAGGATTTATCATTCGCTGGTCGCACCTCAGTCAGTGTATCACTGTCCTCCCTCTGGGCACAGAAAACATACTATGTTTTCTGTGCTCTGGGATTTACCACAGACTTCAGCTAAGTACAAACCGAGTATTTTAAAGTTAAAATTCAAAATTCTTAAAATAGGTACTAATAGTAAGACTTCCAAAGCTATTCTTGTAGGGACTGATGCAATTATTTTTGCATTTTGATTAACATATTTTAAAGAAACGTAATCGTGGATCTTCTATGTTGAGGCAAAATTAATTTCTTTAAAGCCCCCAAATGTGGGTAGAGGAAATTTTGTTAGGGGGTTAACCGGTTTTTCAAGGGTCGGGAAAAGACACGCCCTTTTTTTGGTTATCGTAAATATAGGGATGGACGGGATTGTATTTTTAAGCTTAAGCAGGATTTTTAGTTCCCGTGCAAGAGAATCTTTAGTTTGTTTTGAAAATGTTGACTAAAGATTTTTGCAAAATGCAAAATAATAGCAAACGAAATAAATGTTTAATCTATACACTGTTCTATATGATCACGGCTCTATCGTTATCTCCCTCAAACGCAGGGAAATATCTTCTCCCGCAACAGTAACGAAATCGTCCATCCCAAATTTAAATATCCACGTTGCAGTTAGTGATGCGTATTAATTTAAGTTTGTCTAAGGGTGGGCTGTTAGGCTGTTAGTTACTAGACGCTGGACGCTGGACTATGGGCGAGGTTGGAGGACTGCGGTCACTGGACGGAAGGGGAAGTGGCCGCGACATCCTGCTCCTGCTAATTAAAGATGCTGGCACCACCCGCTACATGCTCACATGCTGACCAGGCGTGGGGACTAGCATTGGGAGTGTCAGTGTACACATCAGATCTGGAGTATAGCCATCTAGTATACAAGTACTACCGTATAAGACCCAGAAACGTCAACCACTGAGACGACACGAAAACGTAACGTTTCCAGGACCGGAGGGGTGTCGGATTACCAAAATAATTCTTTTAATTACCAATAAGTACCGGCAATGATACGAAAAATCCAATAAACACCGAGAGGAATTGAAATCAATGTTCATGACTGCAGAGAAATACGATCCAGAAATGCATAAAAACCACACAGTTCAACTCACTCCTTTCTACAATCGCCATAACTTCAAATGCACACTTGTGTAGGTTAGTTTCGGTGCTGGCTACGAAATATATATCTTAGCCACTGATCCAGTAAATAGCTTTAATAATCTTTCTCTTATCGAGTTGCACACAAGTACTCGACGACAACCTATCACAGACAAGAGAATGATCCTGTGTGATCCTACCAACTAATTTAAGCTCTTTCTTTAGCCACGACCCGGCCCAAGGATAGAGAAGGTAAACTGATCAATTAATCAACCAACAGTTTAGATGTTAAAAGACAGCTGGATTTAATTTAGAACCATCATAAAGCTACTGACTATTTTAGGATCGAACGATCGATCCAAAGTTTTGCTCAGCCATCAAACACCTTTCATTTCAAATCTTCACACAGTCAAGTAATTAAAAACGTCATTAAGACAACCCGAGGGGAACTAACAACTCAGACCTCACAAGATGACACTCTGCCAACACAACGCCTCAACGCGCCGCTGAGTTTGGCTCTGGCTCCGGAAATTGGCGACGGTGACGGAGACTTCCGGTGGCGATCTGTGACAAAACAGAGGCATCCGGGCCAACAATAGCATCCGGGCAGGTCGGGTCTGCAACTTCTGCAACTGCGCCTCTAGCCGCGTGTCCGGGGCGATTACTCGTACACAAGTGCATCACCCAGCGCGGCGAGACAATTCTAGTGGTTAGTACGGGATTTCTGTCATGTCCTGGTTCAAATCCAGACCAATGTTTTTTAGCTATAATGATAGTGATGAGGGAATCTGTGGTTCGATGCCATATAAGCTATAGGTTCAGTCCACCTACTGTATCTACAAAAGTAAAGAGGGTAGGCTGAGTCTCTCAGTTGAAAACTTTCTCTGTATTTGGAGAAATCCCTCTACCAGAAGCATTAAGATATTTTACAAAGATCTTTTGTATTCAACATTTTATAGTGTAATATGGGCCGTGCGTGGTCCCACTACTACTACTATTTGTAGTATAGTATTGTAGTATAGTGTAGTGTAGTATAGTAAATTGGAAATACGGATATAATTAATTATATCCCAGAGTAGGTTGTCATAAGTCCAATAGATAGTCGTCCGTCGGGTTTGTTTCAGGTGTATCGGATTTCGAAAATTTACTGCTTTAAAACTATTCATTCCAACTATACATTGTTGAATCCGAATAGGAAATTTAAAAGATACAGTATAAATAGAAAAGCAGCTTTTCCAGTTACCGTCCACGGGCGGTCACCGATCTCACTACAATGCTTGATTCCATTTTTTCGTGGGACCCAAAGATTGCGGATATAACTTTTAATTTATTATAAAGTCTAAACATTCAATGTAAAGTTCGAAGAAAAATATGAAAAGTATAAAAAAGTTAACATGTCACTGCTTTAAAATATGATAAAATATTTATCCAAAGGGCAATTTTCGTAGATCGGGTAATGATTGAAAGTCTATGATTATTGGTTAAGTAGCCCATGTAGCACATGTCTGGAAGAAATTGAACCATTGAGCCTCTTTACTCCCTGCAGCATCGAGCTAAGGTTGAACTTTGAGTCCAACAATACAACTCTTCTCTCGGCTCGCGACCACACATCATCAAAGACTCCCGC